TTTTTTTTTTCCCCCCCCCCCCCATACACCTTTTTACAGCATACTTGGAATCAGTCAAAATACTGTAAAACAGCCCCTTGTTACTGCATGCGCAGCATGTGCTCATATGTATGAGGAAATAATATCTGAAAAACTGACTGATATAAACCGGTTTTGTTATTCCATATAGCTGGGGATGATTCTTCGAAAACAAAGCTAGCAGCAAAGTTGGAGATAACGTAGGCACCAGATGCAACACATCTTGGTTTTTTTTCCCTTTTTATTTACCTAGCTGACGTTGTAGTACTTGCAGTTAGACTTTGACTGCTAAGTGAATTTGAGGCAATTTTGAAAACCAAGGGAGCCTTTTTAGTATCTCTCTTGGTTTTAACCATCTCCTACTTTCTAGCAATGTATCGTTTAAACTACAAGCCTTTTTGAGGCCAGTTGGCATGTTGACTTCTATTTTAAAAGAAAGGCAAGAAAGTTGATTTTAAACCATGTTTCAGTCATCCCCTTCCCCCCAGCCCAACCATCCTCTGGTCCCCCATCTCCTGCAATGTCAAAAATTACTTGGGTGTGTTTGGAAGTTGAACTTCCTGTGGACATAAGGGAATCCTGTGCCTTTCTGCATCTCTGTCAAAGTGGCGAGTCTCTCAGTCATGAGTCAAAATCCTCACATAGCACAATCATGTCTGTGCAGTTAAGTGGCACAACAACACTGAGTTTCTTTGAGTTCACCCTGATTTTTCTGCTGTGAGGTCAGAAAATATTAATAGGAGGATTAGTGAACCTGAGTATTTGTCAGGGAAGGAGATGAGTTAGGAGATGCAAGAAGCCTATTATAGGTCAATTTCAGAAAACATAAAAGGGAAGGAGATGGAGGAGAATATAAAATAGGAGAGGGGTCTAACATAATCATTCTGATTGTTCAGTTGAACTGAAAGGGAATATTCAGGACGTGGAATCACATTGAATCAATCTATATTATTGATGGATCTAGCTGTATATTAGCTCCTCAGATCTACTCCTTTTATTCAGTAATTTCAAATACAATATTTTTACACGGATCCATCATAAAAAAGGAGAGGCATTAGGAAATCTTCAGTGATTTGGTATTTTCTTATTTATATTTTCTTCAAAATACCAGAAGGGATAAAGAGCTTTATTTTAAGATACAGATACATTTACCTTTTGCCCCTTTTAATATTCTTGGGGATCTGTTCACCCCCACACATCAGCAACAGAAAAAAGACTTTAATTACCTAAAGCCCATTAGGAGCAACTTTGTATGGCAATATGTGGATGAACAAATTGATTCTTAGGTAATATGATGATGAGTGATTTACAGATGTATTTAAAATTCATGCAATTTCATTTTTCCAAGGTAATGATTCTCATGAGATTTGCTTTTAAAATGGGTGCTTTTATTAAAGGAATTTGTGTGTAATGTTCACCTGGGACTTATGCTTCAGTAGAGCGTATCGGGAAGGATCTCTTCATCTCTATGCTTGCACAGTTTCAGCAAGTAGCATGGGACTAATATTCAGAGGTTCTGAATACCAACCACTTCTGTTGATGGAAGCTAAAGTTGTGGGTCCTGGGTACCTTTTGAAAATTAGATTTGTTATCCCTTCCTGAAGAAGGCAAGTACCTTTTCTCTGTTGCTGCAGAGAGGAGGACATGGACCAATGGCTTGAAGTTGCAGCAGAGTAAGTTTAGATTGGATAGCCAGAAACACTTCTTCACTATTAGACTAGTGACACAATGGAATAGACTATCTAGGGCAGCATTTCCCAATCGATGTGCCGCGGCACATTAGTATGCTGTCGGATATGTCCAGATGTGCCGTGGAATCTTGGGGAGGCATGGCTCCCAGCAGGGCATGGCTACATCCAGTGCCGATTTTACCACCCCCTGCGTCCAGCTGCTTGCTAGCCCCCCTCCCTGTTCCACATCTGGCTGCTTGCCTCTCCCCACTGCGTTCACCCAATGTGCCATGGAATGCAAAAGGTTGGGCAATGCTGATTTAGGGAAGTTGTGGACTCTCCATCACTGGAGGTGTTCAAGAAGAGGTGGGGATGATCTAGCCCTTGCCTATGTGGCTGCAGTTGGTTTCCATGGAGACTTCAGCAGCAGCAGTGCCCTGGCAGCATAAGGTCAGGGTTTCCAGGAAGACCAGCCCCAGCAACACCGGCAGGGCGTACAGCTGGGCAGAGAGCTGATCTGGGGCCAGGGCTGGGATCTTGCAGCGGTGACAGTGTAGCCCAGAGCAGAGCTGTGATCTGCTGGTTGCACACCCGTGCTTGGGCCATGCGGGCAGCAGTTCACAGCTCTGCCCCGGTTCTGGACCACGCTGTCACTGCAGTAACATCCAGCAGTCCTTGTTGTTAACCCCAACAATTTTAAATGTAGAGCTCTCCAGCTTTTGAAGAGAACTTTTCCAACATAAAGTAATGTAGCAAAGCTGTTTCTGGAGCCCAGAAACCAGGTCATGATCAGTACAAAGAAACACATTTTTATGCCCTTTCTTCTTTGTGTTATAATTGAGGCTTTAGCTTCTTGATGTTACCTCCCCAAGTTTTCCAAATGTCACATCCCTTAAGAGGAAGTAAAAACTTTATTTTCTTGACATGTTTAATGCATTAGAGCTAACTTTAAGTCTTTTTCTCATTAAAAAAAAAAACTAAGCACAAATAATTTTGTCTTGAGGTCTTGCAAATCTTCTAAATCTGGCAATAACAGTAATATTGGTGGAAAGAGCACATGTTGAAATCTGCATGTCTATAATCCTTTCTCACTAACTGGTATGTTTTGGTTTGCATTGTGTTAATTTTGTTGAGTATAATATACACAAGGAGGTTGGAATAAGAAGGAAAACTGCAGTGTGTTCTTTTTTGCAGAGACTTGTTCTACACTTATAAATGTTGCTGATATAGCTACATCTTTTAGGACTACGATAAGATAAAAAAAAAAAATCATAGCACTAACTGACCTAGCTATTCCAAAAGAAACCCTAATTGAGACACAGTTGTAACAGCAAAAAAAGCTCTTCTGCTGCTATAATTTATTCATTTTGGGGAACTGCGTTAAACTATATTGGGGAAAGAATTTATACTGTTTACATTAGTTAAATCTCTAGTGGGGGTGTTTTGCTGGTATAGCTGAAGTGGTAAACCCTTTTAAGTGAAGAGCACTCCACATGCAGGACCAGATACTTAGCTGATGTAAATTGGCATAACTCCAGTTGACTTAACTGGAGCTACATCAGTTTATTTCAGCTGGGGATCTGGACTACAATTTGTATTTTTTAAATGGCCACCACTGTAGTTGAATGGTGCTAATTAACCTTCCAGAAGTCCTTCTATAAGCTTGTCTTCACTATACATAGAGGACCTGGTTGTGTTTTGAAGAGTACCTCAAAGAGCTGTCTATGTAGCATGAAGTTTAAACAGCTTTGATGTCAATATAAACAGGAACTATCATATTTAATGTCATAACAGGAGGCTAAACATGATTGATTGATTGACTGATTTATCCCCGTCTACAAAATCATATTAACACAGTGTCTCAAGGTCATGTTTAACAAGAACTTGCTTTCTAGCATAGACTAGTCACAGTTACAAGACTGTCTACACCTTTTCTGGAATTCTTGGAAGCCCACAAATGCTAGCAACAGTGAAAGTACTGGAGACCAGCACTTTTTACTGTCTCTTCAATTTATGTGGGCTTTCTGTTGGAAAACCACCTTTAATGACAGAACTTCAGAGATGAAGAACAGCATAAACCAGAACTGCTTTACAAAATACTTTGCATTTAGACATTAGTTTAATGCAGGGACTGAAAGTCTTAGTTGTTTCCATTTCCAATTACGCATTCAAAGGGGATGCAAAACCTAATTT